TTTTCTACAAAAAAAAGCCCTGGGGAAATCTATTCATTCTTGCCTGATTACTGTTAAGACTAATAGTTATTAAGAATAATTACAGGATCATTAAACCTATCCAGGGGTCTTGTTGTAGAAAAAGAGCTGCCGGAGCTCATTAGCATAACTCATTAGCCTAACTTATTTGCATATGCCACGCCCCCTGACATCACCGGAAGTGACAGAAGGCCACACCCCCTGACATCACCGGAAGTGTGTCAGAAGGCCCGGCTACTTACCCTCCTGCTTCATCCTCATTCCCAAACGGAATGAGGATCGAAGCAGAGGGTGGGGTAAAGAAGGGGGCGGGGCTTCACCACGTGACCGCCCCGCCCCCTAGAGGTTCTCTTCCGGAGCTCCGTATCTGAGAGCTCCCCCCCGACTAGAGCCCTGAACCTATCAAGGAACAATGCCTGCTCGAGGAAGATCAACAAGGCTTCTGCAAAGGGAAGTCCTGCCTCACCAACCATCTGAACTTCTTAGAGAACGTTAACAAGCATGTGAACAAGGCCATCCAGTGGATATTGTATACATATGTGGACTTCCAAAAGGCTTTTGACAAGATACCTCACCAAAGACTGGTCAGTGTTTGGATGGGACGCCACCTTAGAAGTCCAGGGTCGCTATGCAGAGGCACATTGAGGGCACCTAGGGGACAAAGAGATTTTCCTGCACACTTGGGGCACTCCCCAGGTGTGCAAAAAAAATCCTAAATGTAGAAAGGACAATTGGGGGGGGGTACTTAAGTCACCCAAAAAGTAAAAGAGTGTTCCCTGCACACGCACAGAGAATACACTAGGAACTGTGCCTCCCTGCCGTTGCCGGGAAGGGGAAGAAGAAGAAGATTGGATTTATACCCTGCTGCCCTTCACTACCCAACGGTGTCTCAGAGCGGCTCACAAACTCCTTTCCCTTCCCCTCCCCACAACAGACACCCTCCTGTGAGGTAAAAGAAGAAGAAGAAGAGATTGGATTTGTACCCCGCCCTTCACTACCCGAAGGAGTCTCAGAGC